TAGGGTATTAAAAGTATCAACACAAGACATAACACGATACAATGGGTATAAATTGGATAAGTTTAGATTTAGGAAAGACTTGGGTAAATACTGGTTCAGTAACAGGGTTGTTGATTTGTGGAACCAATTGCCGCGTAACATTGTGGAGGTGGGGTCCCTCGATTGTTTCAAGCATGGGTTGGACATGTATATGAGTGGGATTAGGGTGGTTATAAATAGGAGCTGCCTCGTATAGGCGAATAGGCCTTCTGCAGTTGCCTTTGTTCTTATGTTCAAAACTTTACATTTATCATCATTAAACTGCATCTGCCAATCTTTTGACCATTTCAAAACCCTATTTAGATCAACTTGAAGTGATAGTGAGTCTTCTTCCGTGTTAATTTCCCTACCGATTTTTGTATCATCGGCAAATTTGTAAATGTTGCTACTCAAACCTGAATCTAAATCATTTATATATATATATATTATAAACAACAGAGTTCCCTTGTTTGATGAAAGGGAGCAGTAGAGCAACAGAAGTACACTTACATCGCATCAGGCTTGGATACCCATGTGCATGGGAAATAGGCTTAGTTTTTTTTTTTTTTTGAGATATATACAAGAGTTGTTACATTCTTGTACAGTCACTAGTACGCGTAGCGTTTCAGGCAGGTCCCTGGAATACGATCTCCGCCGCGAAGAATCTTTGTTACAACCAAGTACACATTTTACTGTCGCATTAAACAGAGGCTACAGTTAAGGATTTGCGCCCAGTAAATCCTCCCCGGCCAGGATACGAACCCATGACAAAGCGCTCGCGGAACGCCAGGCGAGTGTCTTAGCATTACACCACGGAGACTGTAGAGATGGAGGTTCTAAGAGATGAGAGAAAATGTCAGCACTGTGGAGAAATGCCCGACAGACCACTGGAACATTATCTAACACAGTGCACAGTTACAAACCTATTAAAATTTCAACTTAGATTCAACAGAGCAGAAGTTGTTAAATACATATGGCAAAATCTTACTGAAGCGACCATACGAGTCATAAATACTCATACTCCGCCCAAGTAAAACAGAAACAAGCAACACTTAGTGGGCCAGCCAGAGGCTTAGGGCCCGCACAGGAATATCCCTAAAAAAAAAAAAAAACAGAGGTCCCAGGACAGAGCCTTGAGGCACTCCACTAACAACATTAACCAACTCTGACTTAACCCCATTTATACTAACTCTGTTTCCTTTGGAATAGCCATGCACTAATCCAACTTAATATAGCACCCCCAATACAATGAACCTCTATATTTTTAATCAGTCTTTCATGTGGCACTGTATGAAAAGCTTTGCTAAAGTCAAGGTACACAACATCACAATCCTTACCACTATCAACTGCCTCAACTATGCTAGAATAAAAAGATAACAAATTTGTTAAACATGAACGGCCATTTGTAAAACCATGTTGCGACTCATTTATTAATTTATGTTTTTCAAGATGAAGACGAATTGTATTTGCAATTATCGATTCAAGTAACTTTCCCACAATAGACGTTAGGCTAATTGGCCGATAGTTTGACGCAAGTGATCAATCTCCTTTCTTAAAAATTGGTACCACATTAGCTACCTTCCATGACTCTGGCACTCTTCCTAACTCTCTTGATTTATTAAATATGGTAGACAGTGGCTCGGAAAGCTCCTCTTTGCATTCATTAAGCACCCTGGCAAACACTTCATCCGGCTCTGGGGATTTGTTTGGATTTAGTTTTACTATTTGTTTAATTACATCCTCCCTGGTAACTGCTAAACTAGTCAATCTGTTCTCGTCCACATAGACTTGTTTGGCTGAAGACATATTGTTAAGTTCCTTTTTAGTAAATACAGATATAAAATATTTATTAAAAATACTACTCATCTCCTCGTCATTATCCATTATTTAACCTGTCTCAGTTTTTAATGGACCTATCCTCTCCCTAGTCTTAGTTCAATATAACTGAAAAAAAACTTTAGGATTTGACTTTGCTTGCCCTGCTATGCGAACTTCATAGTTTCTTTTTGCTTTCCTTATCTATTTTTTAACATTTCTAACCAGTTGTACGAATTCCTGTTCTAAACTGACTTCCCCATTCTTAATCCTTTTGTACCACACTCTTTTTTTACCTATAAGATTCTTCAAATCCTTTTTTATCCACTTTGGGTCATTAGTATTCGATCTATTCAATTTGTATTGTATACTACGTTCCTGTGCTTCGTTTAGAATATTCTTAAATAAGTTACATTTTGAATCCACATCGAAATCCCCTTTTACGTCACCTATCGCTGGGTTCATGTTTCGCACCAAGACCGGCCCCCCCCCCCATGCCCAAGACTTTCCAATCAATTTGACCAAAACTTTTCTTAGGCTATTGACGTCAGCGTTTCGAAAATATAGTAATCTAACAGAATTTTCTCCTACAGGTCTATTCCATTCTATACTAAATCTGATTTCTTTGTGATCACTGTTCCCTAGCTCACTCCCTATTTCGATGTCATTAATTTGTGTTTCCCTGTTAGTTAACACTAAATCTAAAATATTATTTTCCCGCGTTGGTTCCTTAATGTGTTGGCTAAGAATGCAATCGTCAACTAATTCTAGAAAATCTTCTGTGTCATTATTTCCTGTTCTGTTAGACCAATTTATTCCACTGAAATTAAAGTCACCCATGACACAAATACTGCTAGACCTAGTGGCTCCAGATATTTCATCCCATAGATGCTTTGCTTCCATCCTGTTTAAGTTTGGTGGCCTGTATATAACTCCTATTATAAGATTATTTGCTCTTTCGTTTAATTCTATCCAAATAGTTTCTGTGTGTGGCTCAGTTTTGATTCCTTCTTTGAGACTACATTTCAAATTTTCCCTAACATATATGGCTACTCTCCCTCCTCGTCTAATATATCTCTCTATGTGAAATTGTTTAAATCCATTTATTTGATATTCAGCTAATAGTTCTCCATTTTCTACATTCATCCACGTTTCGGTAACTGCAATAATATCTATTTTTTCTGTGCAGACAAGAGAATTTAACTTGTTTATTTTGTTTCTTAGACTTCTTCTGTTAGTGTAATATACCCTAAGTGAATTGTTATTTTGAGGCCCTTCTCTTTCCTTGATCATTTTGCCAATTTGTTTCTCCAACAAACACATACTTTTATTACCTCCTTCCTCAATATCAATTCCCATACCACTATCTACTAACAGTAGATCTATCTACTAACAGTAGATAGTGGTATCGACAACCCTGTTACCGAACCAGTATTTACCAAAGTCTTTCCTAAATGTAAACTTATCCAATTTATAGCCATTGTTTCGTATTCTGACGTGTGTTGATAGTTTAAAAACCCTGTTAGTTATGTCCATTCATCAACTTGTAAACCTATATCATGTCACATCTAACTCTTCGCCTTTGAAGTGAATGCAATTTAACATTTGATGCATCACGCTATTGTGATTTCTGTGTGTATTGAACTACAATAAACTTTAAAACATCAACATTATCGAGTCAGAGAAAACACCCTTCAATTCCTGAAATCATACCTCGATGACACTTTCCAGTATATCTACTAACAGTACATAGTGGTTCCACAAATCAACTTCCCTGTTACTGTACCATCCCGTTATATCAATGATTTGCCAAATGTTTCTAGCATTCTTAAACTTATACTATTTGCTGACGATATTACCCTCATCTATTCTGGACCCCAACCCCCACATACTAAATAATTTTGCCAACAATGGATTAAAAAATGTCCACTCATGGATGTCAACCAAGAAACTTACACTAAACACAGCAAAGACCTACTACATTTTATTTGGTAGTAAATTATCAAATCTAATTCAAATTCAGATAGACAATGTTAACATTAGTAATATAAATGAGGGAAAGTTCTTAAGGCTATACATAGACAAGCGACTCAACTTCAGTACCCACATACAATACATAGTAAAAAAAAAGTCTCAAAAACGGTTGGTATACTCTCTAAAATCAGATTATGTTCCCCACTCTGCTCTCCTCTCATTATACTACGCGCTAATCTATCCCTAGATTAGCGGGTAGTATAGCCTTACATATGGTATCTGTACATGGGGTTCAACCACTGCATATTCCCTCAAGCCCATCATCACTCAGCAAAAACATGCTATCAGAACTATAAAAAATTCTGTCCAGACAACACAGCCCCTCTGTTTAAGTCCCTTAACATGCTTAACATACACTCACTCCACACATTCCCATTTGCTTTTTATATGTACAAAATCTTGCTCCTAAATGCTGGGGAGGGTGGGAGGGAGGGCTTCAGGGAGGGGGGGGGGGGTCAAGGGAAGCGAGTCCCTGACCATTATAAAGGGAGCACATACGGCTGAACAAGACCAAGCAGATAAGCTCCACTGCTCCACTGATAAGTCCCACCAGACAAAGTACTCTACACACTAGTACCGTTTTCAAATTGGAAAATGAATTAGTATGTATAAATTCGGTGTTAAGGATAAAAATATATTTCCTCATGGTTGACCTTGGGTGGTTTATGTGTAGGATGAGTTGACGAGTGTTGTGGCATGTGGCGTAGTGGTAAAGCACTCTCCCGGCACTTTGCAGGCGCTTTGGCCTGAGTTCGTATCCTGGCCGGGGAGGATTGACTGGGCGCCAATCCTTAAATGTAGCCTCTGTTCACCCAGCAGGGAATGGGAACCTGGTTGTTAAACGATTTAGCGTGTCGTATGCCAGGGTAAATTAGGATTAAGGGCCCCTGGGAGTCCCTAAGCATGCTAGTGGCTGTATAAGACTGTAACAACTCTTGTATAAGAACTCTTGGAGTAGCGACGCTAAAGATGACGGTTGGTGCAGAGCTCATCAAGGTCCGGCGGCCGCCTCCCTTATCACCAGGTGACGCCTCACCTTAATCTTATCGCAGTTGCCACGCATTGTTCACTCATCTATTGGTGATATGTTCAAAGTCTTCAAAGTGAATGGTGATTTCCTTTATCTGAAAATGCACCTTGATTTTGAGGAAGAGTAGTGTGAGGAGGCAGTGTGAGGAGGCAGAGTGAGGCGGCTGCAGCACCACAGTAGCCACACCCCTGCGCCTCACCGGGCCACACACCAGTCAGTGAACATCATAAACGCGGAATTTCTCTATCTGGAGTTGGGAGTGATTACGATAACGTGGTTGTTATAGTGAACAGCAGTGTATCGTGGCAGGTGACGGGAGTAGGGCGCACCGAGCAGCGACTTGTGATGGTGAGTCACTATACCCGCCGCCTCCTTTAAATTTTTGTTTTAAATTTTGCCCCGAGGGGCGAGTTTAGTGGGAAGCGCCACTCATCCTGTGAGTGGACACACCGCCATAGTGACAGTATTGGTCAGCGCCACTCATCCTGTGAGTGGACACACCGCCATAGTGACAGTATTGGGCAGCGCCACTCATCCTGTGAGTGGACACACCGCCATAGTGACAGTATTGGGCAGCGCCACTCATCCTGTGAGTGGACACACCACCATAGTGACACTATTGGTCAGCGCCACTCATCCTGTGAGTGGGCACACCGCCATAGTGACAGTATTGGTCAGCGCCACTCATCCTGTGAGTGGGCACACCGCCATAGTGACAGTATTGGTCAGCGCCACTCATCCTGTGAGTGGGCACACCGCCATAGTGACAGTATTGGTCAGCGCCACTCATCCTGTGAGTGGGCACACCGCCATAGTGACAGTATTGGGCAGCGCCACTCATCCTTTGAGTGGACACACCGCCATAGTGACAGTATTGGTCAGCGCCACTCATCCTGTGAGTGGGCACACCGCCATAGTGACAGTATTGGGCAGCGCCACTCATCCTGTGAGTGGACACACCGCCATAGTGACAGTATTGGGCAGCGCCACTCATCCTGTGAGTGGACACACTGCCATAGTGACACTATTGGTCAGCGCCACTCATCCTGTGAGTGGGCACACCGCCATAGTGACAGTATTGGGCAGCGCCACTCATCCTGTGAGTGGACACACTGCCATAGTGACAGTATTGGGCTGCGTCACTCATCCTGTGAGTGGACACACCGCCATAGTGACAGTATTGGACAGCGCCACTCATCCTGTGAGTGGACACACCGCTATAGTGACAGTATTGGGCAGCGTCACTCATCCTGTGAGTGGACACACCGCCATAGTGACAGTATTGGGCAGTGCAGTGAAAAGCTCTGTACCTCAGGGTACAGTCCTTGCACCGCTGCTTTTCCTTATTCTCATATCAGATATAGACAAAAATACAAGTCACAGCTTCGTATCATCCTTTGCAGATGACAAAAATCAGTATGAAAATTACCTCGGCTGAGGACATTGAAAAACTTCAAGCTGATATTAATAAAGTTTTTGACTGGGCATCAGAAAATAACATGATGTTTAACAGTGATAAATTCCAGGTACTCAGGTACGGTAAAAATGAGGACCTTAAACATAATACAGAGTACAAAACACAATCACATGTACCCATAGTAGGAAAACAGCATGTAAAGGATTTGGGAATAATAATGTCTGACGACCTAACGTTTAAGGAGCATAACCAAGCAAATATTGCGACAGCCAGAAAAATGATAGGATGGATTACGAGAACTTTCAAATCCAGGGATCCCATCACAATGGTTGTACTCTTCAAGTCACTTGTGTTGTCCCGTCTTGAGTACTGTTCAGTACTCACTTCCCCATTCAGAGCAGGAGAGATTGCTGAAACAGAGGGAATACAGAGAATATATACGGCACGCATAGATGCAATAAAGCACCTAAATTATTGGGATCGTCTCAAAGCCCTCCAAATGTACTCACTAGAAAGAAGACGAGAGAGATATCAAATAATATACACCTGGAAGATACTGGAGGGCCAAGTACCAAATCTACACAGTAAAATAACAACGTACTGGAGTAAACGATATGGAAGAAAATGTAGAATAGAACCAGTGAAGAGCAGAGGTGCCATAGGCACAATCAGAGAACACTGTATAAACATCAGAGGTCCGCGGTTGTTCAACGTCCTCCCAGCAAGCATAAGAAATATTGCCGGAACAACCGTGGACATTTTCAAGAGGAAACTAGATTTATTCCTCCAAGGAGTGCCGGACCAACCGGGCTGTGGTGGGTATGTGGGCCTGCGGGCCGCTCCAAGCAACAGCCTGGTGGACCAAACTCTCACAAGTCAAGCCTGGCCTCGGGCCGGGCTTGGGGAGTAGAAGAACTCCCAGAACCCCATCAACCAGGTATCAACCAGGTACCAGTGCCACTCATCCTGCGAGTGAACACACCGCCATAGTGACAGTATTAGGCAGCGTCACTCATCCTGTGAGTGGACACACCGCCATAGTGACAGTATTGGTCAGTGCCACTCATCCTGTGAGTGCACACACTGCCATAGTGACAGTATTGGGCAGCATCACTCATCCTGTGAGAGGACACACCGCCATAGCAACATGTACAACACTCCACAATAGGAAGAAAACCCGCTGGGTTGTTCATCCTGTCACTTGTACCCAGACACAGCTGGGACTTGCTTAACGCTCTCAAGTGAACAGTTTATCAACTAGCAGATTAGTATCTATCAACCCTTAAAAACTTACATTATCTTGCGGGTGCAAAATGGGGGAATCTTTTAAGAACAGTATCAATATTTCACAAATAGTGTTTTCCTAACTCAAACAATGTGGGGTTTATTATTCTACACATATTCCTAATGTCTCTCAGGTGTTCACATTCACGTAGATAGTGGTCAAGGCGGTGTCCGTCACTCTCATCACAGATTCTGCAACTCCGCTGATCAACTGTTGTTTCCATTCAGAATCTCCATGGATATTTGTATACAAGACGGATTCTCGCTATTACTGATTCTCTCCCGCGTCCTCCTCCTCTTCGTCCTTAATGATTGGGATTGGCAGCTGCAACCATGTTGTACCATCGTACAGATTCACTGGTTTGTGCTTCTATCCTCCTTTCCTCAATTACCTTGTCACAGTGATGTTGCCTGACAATGCCTCTAATTTTAGAAGAGTCTTGGGTATGAAGTATTCAATATGGTCTCCTTCAGCAACCAGCACATCTACTTGTTCATTCCCACATATTCCAACACGGGAGGGGATCCACAGAAACTTGACGACTCTTCCCCTGGTTGGTTAGTACCTTCACAGCTCTCTTGAACTCAGCTACTATCTCAAGATTTTCTGCCCGATTTTTACTTAGGCTTTACTGTGCTGCTGTAACATGGGTTAGGTTGTAACAAACTAGGCTGTTGTAAGAATTATCCAGAGTGGTTTATCGACAAAAGAGAATGGGAAGCTGAGCCCGCATGGTGACCTGACCCCCAGGGGAATTCGCGGTGGAAATAACCGACGCTTTGTTCATAGCTGCGTATAATGAATCATCCTATAGTATTCAATAATTTAGAGAAATTAGCCTTTATTCATTTTGTATTAAAATTGTATTGTATAATAGTACTGGGTACAACATCAAGAGTATTCTAATTATTGAGTTTAAGTCACCATCAGTGACGTCACGAATCAGATCTAACTTGTAAGGCGGAGTGACCGGCGGTCATAGGTCAACAGGGTTGACAGGTCTACTATTTCTCAGTTTTAATAACCATTTTTGTGATCGGGAACAGCTCTGCCGTTAGAGGCTTGTGTAATTTAATTTCAGTAAAATAATTCAACCAGTCTGGATCAATTAAGTACAACAGAGTTTAATTGTTATAACTTAAACCTTGCTAGTAACTTGGTAGAACTTTGACTGACTAGGCGGAAGGATACAATGCTGTCTGGGGTAGACCAGACAAGGGAGAGATCAGTGTGAATACGGGAGCAGCTGGGAGAGGTCAACCATCTTACCTCTCCCCAAGACCAGCCCAACATCTAGAGCTGGTCGCCCAAGGTATAGTTGCTATTGTTAATTATAGGGATAGTCTTCTCATTTGCCACTCAGGTCAAGTAGGGAGTGTTAAAGTGACAGGGAGTGAACATATTTAGATTTTGTTTTAGTTTTCTTTTAATAAATTAAGTTAATAATTTGCATTTTTATTGTTTCCATTTGGTTATGTGTATACTTGTCCTGGTCACGTGGTCCACACGAGGCAGAGTTGTATTGGGCGCCGATTCTAACATCGAATCGGAATTATCATTACCGTGTAATTTATTCCACACTCAAGGTCATCGTATATAGTGGGGATCAAGCCCCTAGGTTGATTAATTAGCGTGATCGATCCAGACCTCGATCATTGCTCTTGTGTTACTGGTCTGGAGGTGGCAGCGTAGAGGCGACTCTAGGGTTTTGCTCAGAGCCTAGGTCACGTCATACGGGGTGTAGAATCCTAAGTCCTTTACGTTAAAAAAAAATTAAAGAATCTAATTTATATAAAACAATTTAAATGATACCGCAACTAACGCGCAGCACTCGTGATGGATTAATAAAGAATATTTACTGTACTTGAATACTAAACGCACTTGAAGTGAGCAGCGTGGCCACTGATGACTGGTGGAGCGGGACCAGCTGCGCTGAAAAAACTAAGTCCCGCGCTTTTTCGCTTAAACGCTGAAAAATCAAAATTTTTGTTCTGAAGGAAAATAACTAGTTTTACGTTAATAAACCGCTCTAGCGATTAATATAGACACCCAGGACCTATATATGCTTACCGAAATTGACTTTTTATCAAAAACTGCGTTTTTACTCAATTGCTGGACTCTGCCAATTTTTCTGACTCCGAGGGAAAAAAAATTTCTATCACCCCAAATATCACAAAACTCCTTTAATTCACAAAAATTTTGGTTTCTCGTTTCCAGATATAAATACGTTATTATTTACTACTGACGTTGTATACAGAACAATACTGACACTTCGGGCGGTTTCAACACTCACTACTTCGAATTTTTCGTCAAAATCCGAGATTTTCACCTCAAATGGACTCTGACAAAATTACGACACGATTTTCTCGAAAAATAACTAAATTCGGCAAAAATGTAATTATCACTGTTTAATGCTTACGGACAGAATTACGTCCCTTGCGCGCACTAGAGAGTAATACTGACCCTAGGATATACACAAAACATGAAAATTAGAATTTCCGCCAAAAAGACAGATTCTAGCCCAAGCTGGACTTAGAAAATTTTCCACCTACGTGTCTACTGAAAACAGAATTCTAAGTCTATAAACACAATTTTACCGTCTTACTGGTAAAAACTAGAAAATATCATCCGCATCGACTGGGGAAT